GAAATAAATGGTAATCCGATGGCGCGAGATCAGGGCTATATGGTGGGTGTAACATCAATTCCCAACCAATATCCATCAATTTTTGTCGAGTGGACAAAGACGTGTGCGGCCTAGCATCGTCCTGCTGGAAAATGACACCTTTACGATTGACCAATTCTGGTCGCTTTTCCTTGACCGCTGCATTCAATTTGTCCAGTTGCTAACATTCACGGATAATAAAAAATAACATAATAATAATAATAATAATTTTATAATATAACATTTACGGATATCATAAAAATGGGAGTGAGAGACATCTATAACTGAAATCGGCAATTACTTAGTTGCCAACCCAATAGAATAGAATATGATCAATAATATAAAATTGTATTTTGCTATAATTCCAGTATATATTAGGTGTACTTAATTCCATCATATATCGTTTAATATCAAAAAGATAGGAAAAACTGTAAATCATGATTTTAATTTTTAATGATTTTAAGATGTAGGACCACACTTCAACAGCGTGTAACGCTTTTAAATTAATAAACCACGCTTTTTAAATTAATAAACGCTTTGAAATTAATATACCATAAAAAAGAGCAAACAAAATAGTTCATTGTGGGCATACTTTTACAAAATGACTCTGTTCTGCTGTTTTATGTACCACTGTCATAACTGTTCTAATCAATGTGAATCAAGTCGTTGCGCAACAATTATTATCTTGTTTCGATTGTTCTTAGTCAGAAATAATACATCGTATAAAAATGTACCCGGAATTTCTAATTATAAACTCACCATTGTACTCATTGTCAGTCGCGACGCTGAGTTCGATCGCGATCCATCGATCATTGTATTTACAACAGCTGCTTGTGTCAGTCGATCTCAAGCGTGTTCTGTGATTTTTAAAATGGAGACGTCTGTCAAGCAAAGAATTTCTCTCAATTTTTACATTTCTAACGAAACTTCTCGTTTAGTCTACGGATTTTTTATGCATTTATGGGTAAACTGAGAAGGTGAAATACGAAACAGGAGAACTTAGAAGAATTTAAGAATAGCGACATATTATTGAAATCTCGCTGTTTATTACAATTGATGGAGAAACTTTTTATTTTGCATGTACAGTTATTCACAAAATCGAGCACGCACCTTTTAAAACGCAATGACGTTTTTTAAAGCTGAACTAAGTGACTTGAATTTTTTTAGATGATAGCGGGACTAGTCTACTAGACGATGATCAAAATGCTGTTTTTAAATTTTGCTATTACTTGGAATGACAAAAAAATAAGCTTCTCGTTTTTTAACTTTTTTTATCTGAGCCTATAACGGAAATTTAAAACCTCTCGTTGATCTCGGTAACTTATGTGCATGCTGAAAATGTTATCGAAATGGGTTGACGTTGTTATGAGTTGCAACAAAATTAATGATCGCAAAAATCATGATTTTGACCAAAAACTGCAAGAAATCTGGAATTTTTTAAATCTTTCAACGCCTGTGGCTCGATTCTGGATTAACCGATTTCGATCAAATTTTCAGCACGCATATAAGTTACCCAGATCTAGGGAAGACATTTTTTAAATTTTTGTTATAGACACAAATAAAAAAGTTAAAAAACGGGAGATTTTTATTTCTTTTTGTTGCCATCCCAAGTAATAGCAAAATTAAAAAAGGCATTTTAATCATCGTCTAATAGACTAGTCCCCCTATCATCTAAACAAAATTCAAGTCACTTAGTCCAGTTTTGAAAAAAGCTATTGCGTTTGAAAAGATGTACGCTCAATTTTGTGAGTAACTGTAGATCCACGGCCTAGTTGTAAGAATTTATTGTTAAAGGAAACTTGAAATTCGCAATCTAATCATGATAATTGTCAAAGAAGCAAATAGATTTTGGTTGCTTCTAACAATTAAACTAGAAGAAAATTAATTTCGATTGTTTCTAACAGTTATCGCAATGATGTTTGATTGCGAATTTCTATGGATTACAAAAATTGTCTGCTTTAATTCCACGACGCAGGGAGCATATAAACATCTATTTCTTTTTCTAATATTGTTAATGAGTAGAACATAGCTCAATAGCGTCTTAAAACTCCTCAAATGTTTTCAATGTTTTGTATTCGCTCTACTCATTTTTATCATTAATTTTATCATGTATATTCATTAATTTTATTGTTAATTTTGTCATTAATTTTATTATTAATTTTATCATTAATTTTGGTTGCTTTTATTCACTTACCGACGAGGAGAAATGATTTCGTTGCTTAGAATAGTTGTCGACGAAAATTAAAGCTCTTATTTTGAACATTTTTCAATCGAAATGCTATTTGAAAACAAGATTGTGTTAGTGCAAATAAAATACAAGTTGCACTAAAATATGTAATGGGGCAACAAAGTTCACTAAGATCGATTAATCGATTATTCCGATGCATTGGAAACATGTGCGAATATTACGATAGTATTAACAATATCAAGGAACGTATATCTTATCGTTTATATTTCTCCTCTTCCCAAGTTGTCCATTTTTGTGCACAATCTGAGCGCGAATTATCGAACACTTTTCTCGAACAACTTTCCTTTATCGAACACCGCGCATTCTAATTAATCTCTACAACACTAATAAAGCGAGAAACAGACCTCCCAAATGAAATTAAGATCAGACTAGCGCAATAATACATTTCGAAACCCGATCAAATAATTCCCAGATGTGTGTGTGAAACAGCAGCCAAAGCGTAAGCGGCAAAATCTCAGATCACCGAGAATTTTTCGAACGAGTTCGTCCGAACGACTTAATTAGAAAAGAATCGGAAGCACTGCAAAAGAGAGAAAAGGCATTTCACAAGATAAAACCGTGAGCCTAACCCGTCCTAGATGAATCGTTACAAGGTTTACACTTCCCACTGTCGGAATACGTTAGTTAATTAAGGATCGACGGTAGCCGGAGTGAATAATGGCAGTTTCAGCGATAAAATAGCCGACTGAAAGGCGGGGAGGCAGCCAGGCACCGATAGCAGAAAATCGTTGATCGAAAGGGCATTCTTGATCAGGGGGGCGGGCACTTAACGAGGATGTACACACGTGCATTCTGCATGCACGCACGTAATGCTGCATATTCATAAGTTGTGACTACACCGGGCAACATTTCCGCAGCAAGCTCCGACACGTGCACCGAATAAATTCCTCGTACTGTTACCTACGGCCGGTAGTGTACCGCACCGAGGGCAATTGATCTCGTTCTTCTTTTTCTACGGGTTTATGAGTAGTATCCGGGCCGTGTATTGGTATTTTTTTCGGGCCGCCGAGAGCTGTATTCGACCGTGTTCGATTAATTCCCGTTATTGTGTACGCGCACCGATGAACTATACGCTCCGAGCAAGTATGAGCGCACACGGGCGCACACCCGTTTCTACGCTGATGTAATAGGTACACGCGATTTACACCACCCCGGGGATTTATTGCGTCACGTCAAGCGGCGCGCGGTTACAACAATTGAATCGAAGAGGTCCGAACGTTTCTGCTGGCTCCCCAGGAATTGGGAAGCCAGATTTTTCTTGCCGAACGAACCCGTTAACCCGGTTTTAGCGGATCGTTATGGTTCCATCAATTTCATTGCAATTTCAAGCATACGAAATTGACATAACATCCGCCCTAATTTTACGTACACTGTGTAAGGACGTTTCTCTTCGAACGAAATCCGCGTTACTTGAAAGTGCCATGTTTGTCAATTTTAAGTGCAATCTTTGTCAATGTTAAGTTCAATCTTTGTCGTTCATAAGTGCAATGTTTGTCAATTTTAAGTGCAACTTTTGTCAATTCTAAGTCCAACTTTTGTGAATTTTTAATGCATCCTTCGATAATTTTATATGCAGCTTTTATGAATTTTCAATGCATCCTTCGATAATTTTATATGCAACCTTTGTCAATTTTCAATGCATCGTTCGGCAATTTCAAGTGCAATTTTTGTCAATTTTAAGTGCAATTTGTCAATTCTGAGTGTAACTTTTGTCAATTTTAAAGACCTTCACACACACACACACACACACACACACACACACACACACACACACACACACACACAATTCAATCAATGTTACATTTAATATATTTTCTGAGAACGTTCAAACATGATCAAATAACTTTGAACGCTCTTAAACTTTCAATTAACTGATAGAATTTGTTTATAAACGGGAATGTAATATAGTATTATGGAGATTTTTTAGGACCTGCGAGCATCTTCAAACACCTTCAATTACCTTAAAACGACATCAAAGACTTTCAGTTGAAGATATGAAGATCTGAATGTTTCTTGCTTACAAACTGTTTATATTTACGTTCTATTAAAATGTCTACAGTTTAATTTAGAAATTTTAGACAGTTCTTTAAATATTTTCAAACGTTGTCAAATATCTATAAATATATTTATGTACGATACTCTTTTCAGTAATAATTTCAATTGATTAAGAAAGTTCATATCTTCTAAGGTTCACAAATAAATATTTTATACAAATTTTCACGAACTTCCAAACACCTTCAAACATATTCTAACACTTCCGCCTCTATCAATATGTCTCTAGTTTTCAAATGATTTATACGACTCTTGAGAGTTTTAGGAACACCTTCAGACACCTTCATCGAATTTCAAACATCTGCAAACACTTTCGAACGCTTTCAAATATAACACGCTCTCAAACACATTCAAACATTTCTTATGCACTTTCAGACACATTCCAACACAGCCAAATTTTCGTTCCATTTTTTATTTTGAATCGGTCGTCAGGAACAAGCCTCTTATTTTAAAACAAACATTCTGTACGAACTTTCAGTGACTTTCAAACATCTTCGAACATCTTCGAACATTTTCAAACATCTTCAAACATCTTCAAACATTTCCAGTCATTTTCAAATATTTTCAAACACGTTCAAACGCAACGTGATCGCCTTAGTAATGATTTTTCGGTCGAAAATCAACGATCCTCGCATCTTTTACGTTAGGGACTTGAAATTGGTGTCGTCTTCTATTGTTACAGGCCACTCGAAAAGAAACCCGAGGAGATCTCGTCACCAGCTTCCGGCAGGAACCTGACCGATGCCGACGACGGCTGGGAGGTGGCGAAAGGTAACGAATTCTCATTATCAGCAAACACCGTCGTCCCTTGCTACCGGCGATTCAATGCCGGCCTGAAGACCCGTGGCAGCGACCACGAGATTCAGTCTCCCTTTTCTCAAACCGATCTGAACCAGCAGTATAGGAACAATCGCACGAACCACGACAGTCGAAAGAAATTCGACTCGCTGCAATCGAAATACGCGAAAAACTCGAAGAAAAAGCACGGCTCGAGCGCGAGCAGCCTTGACCAACCAACCGACTCATCGGTCGAAGTTAAATCGAAATCGACGGAGGTTTTGAAAGCAACGAACTTGGTGAAGGACGCGAACACCAAAGACGCTTCTTGCGAGTGCCCGGTTAGCCTAAATGCGAGAAAGAACGTGAAGAAGCTCGCGAGAATGAAAGTCACGGAGCTCGGCAAGCAGCAGGAGAAAATTCTGTCTGCCACGGAACAGAGAAAAAGCTGTTCGAACGGTTATAAGTCGAAACAGTGCGGTCAAGACTCGAAAAACTCCGTCGCGCAGAGGTTCGCGCCGGTCGACAGCAAATTCGTCGGCGCCTTCGACAAAACTTCCAACCTTTTCATAATGTTCGCGACGATTCTGATCTTTCTTTACTACATGTGGCAAGTCGGTCTCGTCGATCTGCGACTAAATCACCGGTCGGATTAGAATTGGGGAGTTTGTCGGCTGTTGAATGAATTTTCGATCAACCACTGCCTAGGATCAGCTTTCTGTTTCGATAATCAATTGTTGATTTTTGTAAATTCTAATTCGTTGAACGTTAATTCGGAGAACAATCCTTTGTTATCCTCGGTTTTTGAGAAATTTTGGCGGGGAAACGGGTAAAAGAAAAATCGAATTTTTCAGTTTTGAGAGTTTCCTCTACTTTTAAATAGAACGTTATTTTATTAAAATTCTTCGGATTCAAATCCTTCAAATTCGCAATTTTTTAAGTCGGGCAAAATTGAATTTTCAGTTTCGAGAATTTTCGACGCTTTGAATAGAACGTTATTTTACTAAAATTCTTAGAATTCAAAATTTCTAAAATAGCAGCAGGCGAGTAAACGGGTAAAGGGAAAATCGAATTTTCAATTTCGAGAATTTTCTCCGCTTTTTGAACAGAGCGCGTTGTTGTGACAAAATTCTTGAAATTCAAAATCCTGCAAATTTTGAACTCCTTTAAATATATAGTTCTTGGAATTGCAAAAGGTAAGAAAACGGGTAAAAGAAAATTATTATAATTATCTTATTTATATAGAATTTTTAACAATCAGAAACCTTCAAATTTCAAATCTTTCAAGTTCAAAATTCATAAAAGAAATCAAATTTAAAACTTTGAGGATTTCCTCTACTGTAAATAGATCGTTACTTTGACAAAATTCTTAAAAAATTCGAAATTCTTCAAATCTCAAATCTTTAAAATTCAAAATTCTTATATTCAAAATTCTCATATTCAAAATTCTCATATTCAAAATTCTCATATTCAAAATTCTTAAAGTTAAAATTATTAAATCTAAAATTCGTAAATCTTAAATTTCACATTATTTTTCAAACGAATTTTCTCAAAACTCAAGGATGCCGACTGTTACGTTAGTTATCTCTATGATTCAAAGATGAAAAAGTTGTCTTGAAAAATTATAAAGAGAGATCTGCGACCAACGTTGTTTTAAAATCGATCGCGAAGCGAGTTTAATTTAAAATTTCGGTTAATGAAAAATCTCGGTTAATTTACTTGAAAACGTTGGGAAGTATTAACAATACTTGGGAGCCAACGATGATTGATGGGTACAGTATTTCGATTGCGTCTGATTGACTGACTGACTGATTGTATTTTTCTTTTTGCACAGACGACAATGATCTTTTCAGTTTTGTAAGGTGACGTTTTTGTTCACGTTTTTAATTCGTTCACTATTTTTTACGATTTATTTTGTAGCGCGAGTACAATTCTCTGCAGTATTGGTTTTACTGTTCTTCGGACGATAAGAGGAAAAAAGAGAATTTCATGTTTCGACGATGTTTTGAAATGCTTTCCGAACGATATATATATTTTTGAACGAATATACTTATATTCATATTAATGAAACGTTGATCTTGAACGACGATGAACTCTCTAGGCCCAATGCATAAGAGTCGATAGCTGGAACGTGAAGCGAAGTGGCTGCTTTACACAAGTGTTTCACACGAATAGTTTTATTATATCTATAGTGTAGATACGAGGATCCATAGATAATGTATATTACATTTATGTACTCGAATAAACATTTTTATACTGAGACACTCTTAGTGAATGACAATACTGTAAATTACGGATCGTTAAGAGATTGCAGTTTAAAAAAAAGATGCACACGCGTTGTCTGAGATCTGAAAATTTAATGGCAAATAATTTCATTCATTCTGTCTTGCGGGTTTGGGACTTTTATACACTGGATCGGGATTTTGTAAATTTTCATGAATTTTCATATATTTTGAGAAACTCAATTCTGGTTACGCGAACTTCGAAGTTTCAACACGTTTTGTGCTTCCAGGACAATAAATAATTGTATCTTGCATAGTAATACTCCGTGGAGTTCTCTGAACAAAATGACATAGTTTGATGATGAATTGTTAGTACAGGTGAATGTTTAAGAAATAATCAAAGTGATCAAGATTATATTATGAGAATTTTTTGAGATTCTCTTTTGAGAATTTTTTACTGTGAAGCTATAACACCTATCATTACATGACTTTCGTATACACTTTCGTTCATTCTTCGACAATATTCACAAATTTTTTCATTACAAAGAAAATTCAAATTCGGGTTGTTCTAATCGATTAATTTCATCACTGTCAAGAGTGCCGGTTTCGCTTCGGCCATTTTTCAACACGTTTCTATACTCACAACTTAACAATAAACAGCATTAGTTTATTCAAAGAACTCTGTTGAACATTATTATGCAAATTAGGATTACAAAAATCTTGCAGTTTTGTTGGAAAATTCATGTTTTCGAAAACTGTGCGCGAGAAGATTTTAACTCGGTTCACGAAAATCTCTTTAAAAAAGCATGCTCAAAGATCTATTTTTTCGTATAATTTTCACATTTGCTAGAGTTAACTAATAAACTTGATGGGTTATGTCGTTGCGCATAAACCAATTTGTTGTTATGTGTGCAGGTAAGCGACGCCAGAAACGAAAAGATCCGGCGGATGGTGACAGCGGACGTTCTGCGAAGAAGAAACCATTTTCTGAGGCATCCTGGGACTAGCAATCCTTCTGTCTTCTGACACAGTCCTGAGGAACGATGAACAAATTACTCAACAAGAAAACAGAACGGCAATATTTTATTGTATCGCTTTTTACTTTGTAATCTTTTAGAAGCGCACGTATTCCCATACTACTTTCCTCAGCACGCTAAACTATGACAAGTTTCAACCGTCGTGAAATTTCGAACAATTGGTAAGCTCAACTGGACAGTCATAAATATCTTCGTTATCAAATGTTTATCGTTAAAATGGCAATTCTTGTTTCGGACAATTTCGAAATTAATTTTGAATTCAAGATCAAATATTAAACAAGAATTAAAACACTTTGTTTTCCATATTTCTGAATAATTTCTGAAATTTTCGAAGGTTCTTTATCTGAATTTTTCAATTCTGCTTCAAAAAGAGTATTCAAATACTAAAGAATTGCATGAAAATTAAACAAAACCTTGGTTTTAATATCTCTAAAATTATTTTTAAAAAAATTTTAGATATCCTTCAGCTAATTTTGATAATTTTGCTTCAAGGAGAGATGAAGCGCTAGAAAATTTATTGTTAATTTGTAGAAAATCTTGTATTTGTTTTACATTTCTGAATGATTTACAAAAATTGTAAAAAATTGTTTATTTAAATTTTTTTATTTTGCTACAAGCAGTAAAAATACTTATTGGCAATTTTTAAAATACTTCAATTCTGTATTTCTGGACAAATCTAGCGTTAAAATTTATCATATTACAATTTTACAACTGACAACATTGAAAATATATTTTATATGTGTGGTCAATAAATTTATGTCGCAAGATGTTTCAACAATTTTTTAAATAATTTCTGAAATATTCGGAAGAAATTTCAATGTGAATAGAATTTTTAACCAACGACGACACTGGCACGTGTAGGTAGCAACAATTTTATTAACGTTCACATGAAATCGAAGGTAAAGTAAAGGAAAGGTGAAATTTATGTCTAACATGGTGTTTCATTTTTGATTGAATAATTACATGATCAATTTCAGTCGGCTTGCACGTCTCTGTAAAGAACGAAACCAAAATCGTAGAAGTACAAATGTGTCTCACTGCTATTAAATACTATAGCTGCAGTTCTACGATGTCTAACTGAATATTCTAACCTGGAAAGTTTATAAACATATTTTTCCTACACGATGGGCGAAGTCGTCCGCTGTCTCGAATATTGATACAATAAAAGACTTGCTGCCAAAAAATTATAACTGCATCACATTTTTCAATACATATATCCTCACTGCAAAAACGAACGCATTCAACGATAAATCCTGTAATATTTTTTATTTCGTCTATATTGTCACACTGGATAAATTAACGCGCTTCCTGGGGACCCTCAAACATGTTCAAACGTGTTTAAACTGCTTTAAACGCACTCGAACACTTCTGAGTAGAACATACATTTCTTTCCGCCTACTTTTAGTTGAAACTCAAAAGTTGTTTACGAATAAAATATTGTACTAAATTATAAAGATTCAAGATAAAAAAAGAAAACCGCAAAAACGCCGATAAAGATGACTTTCGGTGACGCCGGAGACTCTTCAGGATGCGTAGACTGAGCGCCAGCGACTCCCCTACCTCTTGCCCTGCAGCACCAATCAGCGATGAGCGCTCCCCTCCTTGCAATGTCCTACAGCACCCATGGACGGCGAGCACTTCTCCCCTTGCCCTTTCAATAAATTTTCCCTTGCTGTCCCATGACTTAGAATCGGCTCTTTTATGCTACTTCCAAAGATTTTTAGTTGTTTTATTCGTGTTTCCGTAGATTTTGTCGAGAAAACACAAAAAATTCAAGTCCCAAAGTGTGCAAACCATTGGTTTAAAAGTTATACGCGTTAAAAGTTGACGAATATCAAGCGTTAATCTAGCTGTACAAATTACTCGTGTTATCTTCTACACAGTTTTTCCCAAATTTATATCGAATCGAAAACAAGACTTAGAAAAATGTCTGCTATCGATGTTTATAAAAATTATTACTATCGACGATGGTGTTAGAACAAATGTTGAACGTCGAAAAAGTACAGTAATTTCTCCCGGAAATTCCAAATTTCGGGTTGCTGTGAATTTCCCTGCGCTAGTCCAATACGCCTATGTAATTTATTGCTACATGTCGATGCCAAGGGTCGACAAATTCCCAGAAGACAATACAAAATCGTCTGATTTCTCCCTAATTCGCGCTCTGATTGCGCACAAAAATGGACAATTTGGGAAGAGGAGGTACGATTATTCGGTATTACAATTGGTAACTATAAAAACGAGCCGCAAGGCTCGAATAACTGTGTCTCTTCCCAAATTGTCCATTTTTGTGCGCAATCTGAGCGCGAATTAGGGAGAAATTACTGTACTCCGTCCGATGATGTAGTTCCACGAGCGGCGCCGCTAGCTGGCAGCACAAATATCAAAGAAATTCTTCCCAACAGCCGCTAGATGGCATGGATGAGTAATCATTTTGGTATTATAGTTCGAATGATCCATATTTTAATTTGCGTCGAGTTTGAACGCGTATATAACTTCTGAACCAACGGTTTGCGCGCCTTGGGACTTGAATTTTTGGAGTTTCCTCGACAAAATCTACGGGAACATGCATAAAAAAGGCAAAAATCTCTGGACCCGTAATGTAAAGTTTAACCTTCGACTGCGTTCAAATACAATAATTCTTCGACTTTCAATTACAAATTCACGTTAGCACGTGTCTTGTTTATAAACTGTTTATTCGTATATTTTATTTAAACATTTATTGTCGAGTTATACATTTTTGTAGTCTTTTAGAGATTTCCAGCCACTGTCAGCTATACACAAATATGCTTGAACATCGCATAATTTGCTTTGCAATTCTCGTTTCAATTGAAAATTGAAGAGCACCTTCGAGCATTGTGACGTCGAGTTCTAAAATGGGAGCAGAAGCGACTCGTGAATTCTAAGGCCTTGAGGCCGGGCCTCGCAGGGCCGTACGAACGTGGTCCACCCGGTACATAACGCGATGTTGCAGAATTTGATGCGGAACACGACGAGGTTTGTTCGGGCGCCAGGCACTGGAAGGGTGCTATACCTTTTGAATTTGTTCCCATCTCAATACTATGGATTAACCTAATTAATCTGCCTCGGGCATGCAATACAAACGCGGAGGATTGTTCCGAAGATGGCCTCTGACTTCAAAACGATTTTAATATTACCTTGACGACCGAACGAAAAATAATATCGCCTTAGTGACCGAACAAAGAATTGTCTCTAGGATGCGTCTACACCACCCACGCATCTAGAGCCCCTTGTACGGGGCGAGACGACAGCAAGATGGCGATGTCGGCAAGTCCTTGATGATCTTTGTCTTTGGGACCACCATGGCGACAGGGGTTTTGGCGTCTTGGACGTCTCCGAATTATCGGGCCCGTTCACGGGATTCGTAGGGTATCAAACATTATGTAAAATAGATGTCTTTCCTCAAGAGGAAGCCAATGGGGCCCATAGGAGGGGCCTGGTTCAATACATGGCACGCTCCTGCAACTCGGCCATAGTCGGCGCACGCAATTCGAAATTGATAAAATGAGGAATAATCAATCCAAAATATCCTAGGAGAATGTTCTCGTGGCCTATGGTTGCGCGTGCGGCCCAAAAGATGATCAAAAATCATTTATCTAAATTGTTTAACTTTGCTACTAGCAGCGATCAAATGCTAAAAATATTTATCGGCAATTTTTCAAATTTAGAAGTTTACAATCTTACAATTAACAATATTGAAATTTAATTTTGTATTTGTGGTTAAAAAAATTTATGGCGAAAGATATTTGAAGAATTTTTTAAACTTCCAAACGTGCTTGAACGTGTTTACAGATCATCGAGCATCCTTCAAACGCTTTCAAACGCGACATCATTCTCTGTTTAATTTAGTTTTAATCTAGTTTTAATTGTCCTTCATCTGGTAAAGAAAAACGGACAATTTGGGAAGAGAGTTTGTATAGTTATTGACAGTCAGCATCTATAAAAACGAGCCGCGAGGCTCGAATAATCGTAGCTCCTCTTCCCAAATTGTCGATTTTTGTTTCCAAGCTGAGAGTCAATTAGGGAGAATTTATTGTATTTTACATGATTAATTTATTACTCACCCTACATGGTAGATGTCCAGGTTGTCTCGGATTAAAAACGCATAGAAAAAGAAAAGTGTCATATATAAATTGATAATCTATTTTAATTTTTATTATATTTACATTTTAACATGTAAGATTCAGGGAAGGGGTATTACATTTTTATTATTTTACATATATTAAAATGTAATAAACATTTTTCAGTCGATGCTACAGCAATTCTAAAGAATTTAAGTAATATGTCTTGTCAAAAACCGTAAGAAACGTTTGCTGAAGATTTTGGTATGAATTAATTACTAATGTGATTTGCGTCGTACAGAACACATATTATATCGTAAGAGGATTTCATTTAGTACTAACAACAATAAAAAAACACTAATTATGCGTATTTTTATATTTTTAATATAAATCCAGAAATAGGGTCAGATTTTAGAACATGTTCGTATTTCAGTACCCTCTTGTATTAGACCGCGTAATCAAACCTAACCTCACTTTGCAAAAATAATATTATGAGAAAACAGGAAAAGATTGAAACGTTATTGCAAGAAGGAGGAGGTACCTATGTGTAAGGTGGAAGTAGGGGAGAGAAGTATAGATAGATAGAGAAATACGGAAATACGGAGCACGGAATTATGTGCAAAGCTCCTGGAGGGACACGGAATTATCGTCAGAAACACCTTTTTTTATTTCATTAAAAACATTACTATTTATATTCTAACATTATTATTATTATTATATAATATTTTTAAAATCAGGAATGTCTACAAAATCGAAATATATTTTTAATATATTTTATAATATATATAATTTGATAATATAAATGTATTTTTAATGTATTTTTTTATTAAATGAAAATTATAATCATTAATGAGAGTTTTGGCAAAGCAAAAATTGGCTTAAAGGCACGGTAATTGGGACATGTGTACCCTACCTTACAGAAATTATTATAGTAACATTGTGTATAGGAAACGAGAACGATTTTTTCATCTATTTTCGCAGACGTTGACAAGTGTTGGACATTTTTGAGATTTAATAGGGCATTGCATTTTAAAAATCAATGCACATGCCACATAAAAACCCCAACTCTGCCACAACAAACTGCATCATCAGCTTCTGAATCTCCATCTCTCAAATTCTGTCGTTTTCTCTAATTGTATCTCTTCATCTTCTCTGTCATTCTTTTCTGCAATTTAATATTTTATGCAAACTTACAATTATGAACACAATAAACCATCCAATATTCAGTTGCTTTACAATCTAACATTCAAATGCATTTTGCATAACTATCATTGGAAGTTGCATTATTGGAAAATAGCACCTAAAGTAAGTTCTTAAGTACCAATTTCTGGTGAGATTATTTTTCTGCAAGGTCAACTTTTCCATAATTTCGAGATCATCGATGGTTTGCCGATTAACTAACAACAGTTATGGTTGACTAATATTAGTTATGATTAATTACTATCAGACATAGTTAATTAATATTGGTTACAATCCACCAACATCATTATTACTAATATTAATTAACTTAATATCATTCACAGAGTTAATTAACATTAATTAACTACTGCCAGTTATAGTAAACTAATATAAGTTATGGTTAACTAATATTAGTCATAACTATGTCAGTTATCAATAATTAACATAAGTTATAATTATTTAAAAACAGTAATAGTAACCTAATATCACTTATAGTTAACTAGTTATAATTATATAACTACATT